CAGCGCTGACTGGCGGAACGGACAGGGGAGGGGGCGGTTACAGCTGGCTCTGCCTCTAGATAGGCAGAGCCAGCTGTCACTCACGCAGCTGGGCGGATCTCGACATCGATGTCGGGATCCGCTCCGGCTACGGCGTCTCGGTATACTGAGCTTAGGGTGACGGGAGGACGCTAGTTTGTGTCCTCCCGTTACCCTAAGAAGAACTATGGGGAAAAGCCCTGACCCCACAGTTCTCCTTTAAAGCATTGCACCTGCAATCTACTGATCACAGTTGCAATGCTTTACTGGCTCCAATGTCCCCCCAGAATAATGAATAAATAAGCCTTTTTTTCCTTGAAAAAGAAGTGATTTTATTATATTTTCTGAGGCCCCTTTCACACGTGTTTTCCAGGAGGGAATCCATGCACATAGCCCCTCCTGATCGGAGTGGTACGGATCGAATGTCACCTCGGTGACATCCATGCCTGTCCAGTATTTACCTCCATCTTGCGATGGAGGAGAAAACTGAAATGACCGGACCCCATGTCTGCGGAGGATCGGATGTACCATGTTTGTGGAGGATCGGATGTAAATGCACCTGTGTCCGTTTACATCACATTACCCCTGATTCGGCACGATCAGGTCTAGCGAAACGGAAAACTGTTCCATTTGTTTTTTCCGGGCCTTGCCAGAGCCGGGGGTAACCGTAAGTAAACAAACGCCCGTATGTTTAGATCCAGCTGCCCATAGACTTACATTGGGCATCCGATTTGAGTCCGCCTGAAAAACTGACTGGCGGCTAAAAGGACCACCTGGCTGAAAGGGGCCTAAAAGATGGAAGCAAGAAAGCAAAAGCAAGAAACTATTCTTGACCCCTTTATTCAATGATCCATAAAAGGATACAGAATACACAAGATCCATGATTATTGTTGTGAATAATATTATCGTCATCTTTTCATAACTTTCTTTCCTACTCCTAACTGAGGAGCGCAGACTGTACATACACCCCATGCTGTACATTAGTCTAGTGTGGCTTCTCTGGCTTGGCAAGCTGTATAGATATTCATATGTTATGAGCAATATGGCTGCCCAATCTGCTTGTGTATCTGTGAACTATACAAAGCATCACATTTTTATTAATACATTGACATACATTGGTAAGATTATTTATATTAAACTAATCTCTATTGTGCGCGGATATCTGGAATATAAAACCCTAAACAGGACAATTCCTCATTTGGACACGGAGGCTGTGAAAGTAAATGACACTTAATTTATGCAAAACTCTTTTTTTTTTTTTCTGCCAGTTTTTTTTTTATTGCTGTTTTTTTTTCTTCTAGTTTGGTAGATTTTTCTTCCTCTTTCTGTTCCTGAGAAGCAGACGGCAATGAAAATTTGTATTTATAATGTGGGGAAGACTTAGCATTTTCTCACTGGCTCTATACTCACTGAGAATATGGCCTTGCATCCTGTTGTGTTTCCAGAACAGTAAATTAGAGGAAATGCCCCCACTGGGCACAGAGACTACAGTAATAACCTGACAGTAGTTCTCACCCTTCCTACTCCAGACCTAGGGAAAAAAGGCTTCCATTAGGAAAATAAAATTAATGAAAGCAAAAAAAAAAAGAAAAGTTTTAATAATGGAAAAAAAAAAGTGACAATTTTTAAACATGTTTATTTTTTTAATTGTAAGGTCAATAAAACTGATGTGTAAATCAAAAGACAATTGTTTGATCCGCATGTAAAAGAGCTACTGAAAATACACTAACAATAATGTTGTTAGGTGGATGTATAAATGAAGCCCACCAGTATTTGCAGGCTTAATTCTATTAAAGGGGTGTGCTCCTTCAATAAAGGCCAATGCCAGGCTGTCAAATGAGTGCTAATTCCAGCTATTTTGGACCGCTCCTTGGCCATTAGAGCGACTAGGGATGCACCGATACCGAGTATTTGGGCGAGTACTCCTACTCGCCCAAATGCTCTGATGCCTAGCCCGATACTTCCTATATCAGGATGCCAGGCAGCGTATCATATCATCCGGGCAGCTTCCCAATCAGGAAGCTGCCCGGCTTCTTGATTGGCCAGGAAGCCGGCTCCATGCTCCCTCATCACTTGTGACGAGAGAGCATGGAGCCAGCTTCCCGGCCAATCAGAAATCATTACACGCTGCCCGGCATCCTGATTGGCTTCATGTTCCCTAGTCACCTCCATGATGCGGGGAGCATGGAGCCAGCTTCCTGGCCAATCAGGAAGCCGGGTGCCGCATCATTACACATAGTGAGAAGAAGCATGGGGATGGCTTCCTTGCTAATCGGGAAGCCGGGTGACGAGTCTTTAAACGCTGCCCGGTTTCCCGGCTAATCAGGAAGCCAGGCGGCGAGTAATTGCACGCCGCCTGGCTTCCTGAATGGGACTTCCGGTACTCGGTATCAGCGAGTACCGGAAAAAAAATATCGACACTCATACTCGGTACCGAAATACCGGTATCAGTGTATCCCTAGTAGTGACCCTAGTATTATACAGTATCATAGTAGCACAACCTTGGCATTTTTAGGGCATACTTGACATGCCCAAGGAGCAGAAATGTTAAAGAAGAGCTTTATTTTATTTATTTATTTATTTTTGCATTTGTAGATATGCACAAGAAAGAATATCCTACATATCAATGTGTGTTCACATATTTAAATCGGGTTTCTATGTATAGTTATTTTATGTGTGTACCTTGGGCAGCTGTATTTGCTCAGTGCATATTTAAGCCTCGTATCCTTCTTAGTAATGCTGCACTGTGTTGTACCTTGCTGATCTTAACTCGCTGCAACTTTCAAGGCAGGATCTGTGTAAAGGAAAGATGCAGGCTTTTAGTTTCCATTTTTTTAATCCAACATAAAAATCTGAGTTGTTGGACACGTGCCCCAACGATGCATGCGTTTTTATATTTATTGATCAGGCTACTTTAACATCTACAATGTCCAGGTTTTCTTGTCTGTCTTTGTGTGCTGGAAAGGATCTACACCCCATGGGAGACTGTATAATTAATTTGGTGATGCTTTTCTTGAGCATCTGCCAGGGTTTCCTGGTGCTGTTAGCAATGGTCTCTGAGGTGTTGCTTAATAGTAGTCAGGGGAGGTAAAACCTTGAGCTGAGCAAGATCTTTATTTATTAGAGAGTATCCAAGAAATAAACAGAGTGGTATAACCCTGAGATGCCAGGTCTGTGGTGGCCAAAAAATGATGCCTATACGCTCTTATCATTACAAACCTTGGGAGCTCTTATATTTAGAACCAGAGCATGCTATGGCATAGGCCGACCTTAAAAAGGAACTTCACCATTATCTTTACAATGACAACCAAGTCACCTTTTAGAATTGTTTAGTAATGACAATCTACAAACAGATACTTATAGATAATTGATTTTTATACTTTGTACACCTTATTTTACTTTTCTTCCCCATTCTTCTCACGGTGGCCATTTTTACTAAGGGCAGATTAATATGTCTCCATTTAGTTCAGGAACTCTGGCACATGTGACTAGGACATATGACCATGCACATCATCTCAGGGGAGGAAAACGCCTTTCCCTGAGATCTCATGAGATTTTCCAGCAATGCACTGTGATTGAACAATGTCCCAGAATGCATCACTTAGGCACAGGCTACATCACTAATACCTAAGAGGACCATGCAGTGGTAAAACAGTAATTGTAAGTAGAAGAAACATGTTTATTTAGTGAATGAATGTAAGATTTCATATCGGCATACAGATCTGAATGCTGATGTGATTTTTATTGAAAGGGGTATATTTAAGGGGTTTATTTAACTGTGGGTATATATGAAATGGTCTGCATCTATGCATCAAAAAGTACAAAACTCTGTATGTGCTAGG